GCTGCCTCGCTTCCCTGCTTCCTAGCTGCCACGCTGCCTGGATTCCTAGCTGCCTCGCTTCCCTGCTTCCTAGCTGCCACACTGCCTGGATTCCAAGCTGCCTCGCTTCCCTGCTTCCTAGCTGCCACGCTGCCTGGATTCCTAGCTGCCTCGCTTCCCTGCTTCCTAGCTGCCACACTGCCTGGATTCCTAGCTGCCTCGCTTCCCTGCTTCCTAGCTGCCACGCTGCCTGGATTCCTAGCTGCCTCGCTTCCCTGCTTCCTAGCTGCCACGCTGCCTGGATTCCTAGCTGCCTAGCTTCCCTGCTTCCTAGCTGCCACGCTGCCTGGATTCCTAGCTGCCTCGCTTCCCTGCTTCCTAGCTGCCTAGCTTCCCTGCTTCCTAGCTGCCATGCTGCCTGGATTCCTAGCTGCCTAGCTTCCCTGCTTCCTAGCTGCCACACTGCCTGGATTCCAAGCTGCCTCGCTTCCCTGATTCCTAGCTGCCTAGCTTCCCTGCTTCCTAGCTGCCACACTGCCTGGATTCCAAGCTGCCTCGCTTCCCTGCTTCCTAGCTGCCATGCTGCCTGGATTCCTAGCTGCCTCGCTTCCCTGCTTCCTAGCTGCCACGCTGCCTGGATTCCTAGCTGCCTAGCTTCCCTGCTTCCTAGCTGCCACACTGCCTGGATTCCAAGCTGCCTCACTTCCCTGCTTCCTAGCTGCCACGCTGCCTGGATTCCTAGCTGCCTAGCTTCCCTGCTTCCTAGCTGCCACACTGCCTGGATTCCAAGCTGCCTCGCTTCCCTGCTTCCTAGCTGCCATGCTGCCTGGATTCCTAGCTGCCTCGCTTCCCTGCTTCCTAGCTGCCACGCTGCCTGGATTCCTAGCTGCCTAGCTTCCCTGCTTCCTAGCTGCCACGCTGCCTGGATTCCTAGCTGCCTCGCTTCCCTGCTTCCTAGCTGCCTAGCTTCCCTGCTTCCTAGCTGCCATGCTGCCTGGATTCCTAGCTGCCTAGCTTCCCTGCTTCCTAGCTGCCACACTGCCTGGATTCCAAGCTGCCTCGCTTCCCTGCTTCCTAGCTGCCACGCTGCCTGGATTCCTAGCTGCCTCGCTTCCCTGCTTCCTAGCTGCAACACTGCCTGGATTCCTAGCTGCCTAGCTTCCCTGCTTCCTAGCTGCCACGCTGCCTGGATTCCTAGCTGCCTAGCTTCCCTGCTTCCTAGCTGCCACACTGCCTGGATTCCTAGCTGCCTCGCTTCCCTGCTTCCTAGCTGCCACGCTGCCTGGATTCCTAGCTGCCTAGCTTCCCTGCTTCCTAGCTGCCACGCTGCCTGGATTCCTAGCTGCCTCGCTTCCCTGCTTCCTAGCTGCCTAGCTTCCCTGCTTCCTAGCTGCCATGCTGCCTGGATTCCTAGCTGCCTAGCTTCCCTGCTTCCTAGCTGCCACACTGCCTGGATTCCAAGCTGCCTCGCTTCCCTGATTCCTAGCTGCCTAGCTTCCCTGCTTCCTAGCTGCCACACTGCCTGGATTCCAAGCTGCCTCGCTTCCCTGCTTCCTAGCTGCCATGCTGCCTGGATTCCTAGCTGCCTCGCTTCCCTGCTTCCTAGCTGCCACGCTGCCTGGATTCCTAGCTGCCTAGCTTCCCTGCTTCCTAGCTGCCACACTGCCTGGATTCCAAGCTGCCTCGCTTCCCTGCTTCCTAGCTGCCACGCTGCCTGGATTCCTAGCTGCCTAGCTTCCCTGCTTCCTAGCTGCCACACTGCCTGGATTCCAAGCTGCCTCGCTTCCCTGCTTCCTAGCTGCCATGCTGCCTGGATTCCTAGCTGCCTCGCTTCCCTGCTTCCTAGCTGCCACGCTGCCTGGATTCCTAGCTGCCTAGCTTCCCTGCTTCCTAGCTGCCACGCTGCCTGGATTCCTAGCTGCCTCGCTTCCCTGCTTCCTAGCTGCCTTGCTTCCCTGCTTCCTAGCTGCCATGCTGCCTGGATTCCTAGCTGCCTAGCTTCCCTGCTTCCTAGCTGCCACACTGCCTGGATTCCAAGCTGCCTCGCTTCCCTGCTGCCACGCTGCCTGGATTCCTAGCTGCCTAGCTTCCCTGCTTCCTAGCTGCCACACTGCCTGGATTCCTAGCTGCCTAGCTTCCCTGCTTCCTAGCTGCCACGCTGCCTGGATTCCTAGCTGCCTAGCTTCCCTGCTTCCTAGCTGCCACACTGCCTGGATTCCTAGCTGCCTAGCTTCCCTGCTTCCTAGCTGCCATGCTGCCTAGATTCCTAGCTGCCTCGCTTCCCTGCTTCCTAGCTGCCACGCTGCCTGGATTCCTAGCTGCCTAGCTTCCCTGCTTCCTAGCTGCCTAGCTTCCCTGCTTCCTAGCTGCCATGCTGCCTGGATTCCTAGCTGCCTAGCTTCCCTGCTTCCTAGCTGCCACACTGCCTGGATTCCAAGCTGCCTCGCTTCCCTGCTTCCTAGCTGCCACGCTGCCTGGATTCCTAGCTGCCTAGCTTCCCTGCTTCCTAGCTGCCACACTGCCTGGATTCCAAGCTGCCTCGCTTCCCTGCTTCCTAGCTGCCACGCTGCCTGGATTCCTAGCTGCCTAGCTTCCCTGCTTCCTAGCTGCCACGCTGCCTGGATTCCTAGCTGCCTAGCTTCCCTGCTTCCTAGCTGCCACACTGCCTGGATTCCAAGCTGCCTCGCTTCCCTGCTTCCTAGCTGCCACACTGCCTGGATTCCAAGCTGCCTCGCTTCCCTGCTTCCTAGCTGCCACGCTGCCTGGATTCCTAGCTGCCTAGCTTCCCTGCTTCCTAGCTGCCACACTGCCTGGATTCCAAGCTGCCTCGCTTCCCTGCTTCCTAGCTGCCATGCTGCCTGGATTCTTAGCTGCCTCGCTTCCCTGCTTCCTAGCTGCCATGCTGCCTGGATTCTTAGCTGCCTCGCTTCCCTGCTTCCTAGCTGCCACGCTGCCTGGATTCCTAGCTGCCTCGCTTCCCTGCTTCCTAGCTGCCACGCTGCCTGGATTCCTAGCTGCCTAGCTTCCCTGCGTCCTAGCTGCCACGCTGCCTGGATTCCTAGCTGCCTCGCTTCCCTGCTTCCTAGCTGCCACGCTGCCTGGATTCCTAGCTGCCTAGCTTCCCTGCGTCCTAGCTGCCACACTGCCTGGATTCTTAGCTGCCTCGCTTCCCTGCTTCCTAGCTGCCATGCTGCCTGGATTCTTAGCTGCCTCGCTTCCCTGCTTCCTAGCTGCCATGCTGCCTGGATTCTTAGCTGCCTCGCTTCCCTGCTTCCTAGCTGCCACGCTGCCTGGATTCCTAGCTGCCTCGCTTCCCTGCTTCCTAGCTGCCACGCTGCCTGGATTCCTAGCTGCCTAGCTTCCCTGCGTCCTAGCTGCCACGCTGCCTGGATTCCTAGCTGCCTCGCTTCCCTGCTTCCTAGCTGCCATGCTGCCTGGATTCCTAGCTGCCTCGTTGTCACTCCTACTCTCACCCTGCAGCTCTGCTATATTCGTGACAAGCTTTTCTTTTACCGTTCGCATTTTTTCCGTTCTTTTTGAATCTTGTGACATTGCACTCTGTAACGCCATTTTTCTTAAGTGCCTGACAGTTGTTTGATGCCTCCGGTATGTTGACTTAGACTTAGACAGCTTTTATTGTCATGTTGTTTTGTACAGCTTTTCAGACAGTAAATGAACAGCAGCTTAGCAGTAAAATATAAGTTTCCATTTCAAGTGCAGCAGTGATCAAATGTAAACAGCGTGGCAGAAAAACATGGTGCAAAAAGACATTGATGTTGAAGTTCAGAGTAGTGAAAAAAGAAAAACGTGGAGCAAAAATGCAGTAGAAAAATATTTTTGAGTTGATTTCTACTTGGTTTGGTGTTATCAGTGTGATGTAGAGTCTCGATTAGTGACTTGATTTTGAGTTTTTTTCAACAGTTCAGCAGTCTGATGGAGGTGGAGAAGAAGCTGTCACAGAACCTGGTGGAGCTACCCTTTTTAACCTGGGGGGCGCGGTCGTGTGTCATCAGACTGAACAGCAGGGGGCTCAGGACGCAGCCTTGAGCCTTGGGTTCGTGTAGCCACCCTAGAAAACTGTCAGCCTGCGTGATTGGTTAGACCCTGATAATATGACGACCCAAAATGTTCACATCATTTTAATGGAAAAAACCTGTCTTATATTCAGGCAAATAAAATTGTTACACATTTTAAGTTTTAGAATATTAACCCTAAACTCACAACAAAAAAACAGTAGTTAATGACCAATAGATAACTGCTATTTTCAAAAGGGACAGATGTGTGTCTCTGCAGCGATCAAAGAGTTTTCTTCACGTTTAAAGATAAAGACCAACTTCTTCACACATTTAGTGTGGATAGTATGCAAGACCACTAATAATTTACTTATACAGCTTAGATATATTTTATATTTTTGAATCGTTAGCAAGGACTTCAAGAAAATCTGTTCTATCTTCAGTGATCAATCTAGGAAATATCCCTATTGATACCGGGCAATCAGTCCATTAGAACCAGAATAAACACATTAAACACAGTATTGGTTGAAATACAAATATTTCTAAAACAAATTAGGTGTAAAAGCAAAAAGAAAAAGAATCTGCAGCAAAAAACAATGTATTTAATTTAGTAAGTTTCTATGTGATAATTTTATACCTTTAAACAGATAAAAATGTGTCAGTGTTTTATTTTTTATTGTTTTGTCTCTGTAGTCTGATCTCAAAGTGCCCTAGTAGTTGATCGGCGATCCCAAAAGGGATCATGCCCACAACTTTGGGACTCAATGGTGTACAGCAGGGTTCACTAATAAAAAATCAGTGCAGTCCGAATAAAGAAAATCATCAACCAGTAAAGGTCCGGAGACATTTTTAATTATAATCCATTACTTTAAACAGAATTTAACACTGAAATAAAGTGAGGTCTTTATGCTTCCATGCTGAGGGTTGAATATACTTTCTTACTTTCATTTTTGGTTAAAACACTTGTTTTTTGGCTTGGAACATTGAGAATAACAGGTGAAAGGTTACCTGGATCTGATTTGGAAAAGGTGTCCATGTCCAACAGGTTTCTGCAAAAAACAAAAAGGGCAAGCAAGATTAAGAGTTTGAGCAGGTTTTATGTTCATAAAAATCATTTATGAACAGTTTTTGTCATCTTCAGCTGTGCATGTTCACAATTTGATTCATTGAAAATCACTTTGTGTAAATAAAAATGTTGTTGCAAATATTTTCAGAAATCATTCTTTGTTAAAACCTTCTAGAATTTATTTTTGCTTAGTTTTAAAGTCTTAGTATGAAGGGAGGGAACCAGTTTCATTTTGTCGAAATCGGGAGAAAACAAGGTTGATGGTCCCCTCCAGTGGCGTCAGGCCAGTAGAGGGGGATAGGGTGCCGCCCCACTCACCCAAAGACCTTGATTAAGACTTTAAAAAAACAAATAAAAATAAAATTTTAAAACCAACATATTTTGAAAATCTATTAATTTATTTTTAGATGTGAAAGATAAATACTTAATCTTTAATGACGAGTAAGACGGTTTTCGTTCATTGTCAGTTTGGTGACGTATTTCACAATAATTTTGCTAACTCTGAAAGTTCAACTGGATCAAAGCAGTCTAAACCCGGTTCAGATTCCATGACTACCTCAGATACAATCCCGGATAGAGGAGTGCTTATGATTTTATTTTTAATAAGATCAATCTTATTTATAAAGAATCCCATAAAATCATTGCTGCTAAGAGCAGGTGGAATGGACGGTTCAACAGAGCTATGGCTCTGGGTGAGTTTGGCAACTGTATTAAAAAGAAATCTAGGATTATTCTTATTCTCCTCTATTAATGAGGAGAAGTATGCTGCTCTTGCTTTACAAAGGGTCCTCTTATACAGCAGTAAACTATTTTCCAGACTAGGAAGGACTCCCGCAGGCCTGTGTTGCGATATTTTCCCTCCAGTTTCCAAGCATTTTGCTTCAAAGTGTGCAGCTCTGCATTAAACCAAGGAGCTAGCTTTCTATTTTTATCTTTTTTAATTTTCAAAGGAGCTGCGTTGTCTAAGGCAGTACACAGAGAACTAGCAACCCCATCAACAAAATCATCAACCTGTGAAGGGGAATAAGCTAAGCTTTTGCACTCTGCAGCACTGCTCAGCGACACAGAGGAGAGAGAAAGTGAAGCAGATTCTTTAAAATGTATAACTGCACTATCTGATAAAGATCTACTAAAATTGAACCTTCTTTTGGGGGAGGAGAACTCTGTTAAAGTAATCCTGAAGGTTATTAGAAAGTGGTCAGAGAGGACAGGGTTGTGAGGAAATACTGTTATTTCTTCACATTCTACAGGTGCTGGTCATAAAATTAGAATATCATGAAAAAGTAGATTGATTTCAGTAATTCCATTTAAAAAGTGAAACTTGTATATTATATTCATACATTACATACAAACTCATATATTTCAGATGTTTATTTTGTTTAATTTTGATGATTACAAATGACAACAAATGAAAATCTCAAATTCATCATATCAGAAAATTAGAATATTACTGAAGACCAATAAAAACAAAGGATTTAGAGAAATGTTGGCCAACTGAAAAGTATGAACATGAAAAGTATGAGCATGTACAGCACTCAGTATTTAGTTGGGCCTCCTTTGGCCTGTATTACTGCAGCAATGCGGCGTGGCATGGAGTCGATCAGTCTGTGGCACTGCTCAGGTGTTATGATAGCCCAGGTTGCTCTAATAGTGGCTTTTAGCTCTTCTGAATTGTTGGGTCTGGTGTATTGCATCTTCTTCTTCACAATACCCCATAGATTTTCTATGGGGTTAAGGTCAGGAGAGTTTGCTGGCCAATTAAGAACAGGGATACCATGGTCCTTCAACCAGGTACTGGTAGCTTTGGCACTGTGTGCAGGTGCCAAGTCCTGTTGGAAAATGAAATCTGCATCTCCAAAAAGTTGGTCAGCTGCAGGAAGCATGAAGTGCTCTAAAACTTCCTGGTATGTGGCTGCGTTGACCCTGGACCTCAGAAAACACAATGGACCAACACCAGCAGATGACATGGCACCCCAAACCATCACTGACTGTGGAAACTTTACACTGGACTTCAAGCAACGTGGATGAAGTGCCTCTCTTCTTTTCCTCCAGACTCTGGGACCTTGATTTCCAAAGGAAATGCAAAATTTACTTTCATCAGAGAACATGACTTTGGACCACTCACCAGCAGTCCAGTCCTGTTTCTCTTTAGCCCAGGCAAGACGCTTCTGACGCTGTCTGTGGTTCAAGAGTGGCTTGACACAAGGAATGCGACAGCAGAAACCCATGTCTTTCATACGTCTGTGTGTGGTGGTTCTTGAAGCACTCACTCCAGCTGCAGTCCACTCTTTGTGAATCTCCCCCACATTTTTGAAGGGGTTTTGTTTCACAATCCTCTCCAGGGTGCGGTTATCTCTCTTGCTTGTACACTTTTTTCGACCACATCTTTTCCTTCCCTTCGCCTCTCTATTAATGTGCTTGGACACTGAGCTCTGTGAACAGCCAGCCTCTTTAGCGATGACCTTTTGTGTCTTGCCCTCCTTGTGCAAGGTGTCGATGGTCGTCTTTTGGACAACTGTCAAGTCAGCAGTCTTCCCCATGATTGTGTAGCCTATAGAACTAGACTGAAAGACCATTTAAAGGCTTTTGCAGGTGGTTTGAGTTAATTAGCTGATTAGAGTGTGGCACCAGGGGCCATCAATTTTGAACCTTTTCACAATATTCTAATTTTCTGATATGATGAATTTGAGATTTTCATTTGTTGTCATTTGTAATCATCAAAATTAAACAAAATAAACATCTGAAATATATGAGTTTGTATGTAATGTATGAATATAATATACAAGTTTCACTTTTTAAATGGAATTACTGAAATCAATCTACTTTTTCATGATATTCTAATTTTATGACCAGCACCTGTATGCCGTATGTCAGCACAAGATCCAAAGTATGAAGATGAGAATGTGTGGGACTATTCACATTTTGAACAAAGCCAATAGTGTCTAAGATAGCATTAAAGGCTGCTCTTAAGGCAGACTGGGGTTCAATTCTGAACCCCAGTTGGCCTTTCTTCACAATGATAGGAAGAGCCGACATCGAAGGATCAAAAAATACTGACAGGGTCATCATCCATGCTCACAGTGAAGGTGATAGCTTAAAGGAATAGTACACCCAAAACATGATTAGCCTTCATTTTCTACTCACCCCCACGCTGAACAACACTCTGGAGTACTTTTTTGATATCTCAAATGCATCTGGAGATCTGGGAGGCTTCTTGCTGTCTGCTGACATTCAAATAATGGAGGTCTATGGCGCCCGAGGCAGAAAGGTCCATAAAAGTCCACAAAAAACGTGTCAATATTCCTCCATACTGCTCGTCCAATGTATTCCAAGTGTCCTGAGTGGGTAGCATCCAGAATTTACTCGAAACGAAGTCATTTAGAATTTTTTTAGAGCATAAACAGTAGTGTATAGGATTTCCTGAAAGCGCGCACCTGCGCGATCACGACGCTACGGAAGCCGGCAGACCAAACCAGATGAAAGTGCGCATTCAGCGTCTGCTCTGCCGATAATGCAAGCGTAGAAGAAGAAATGTGCTGTTTACCTGTGCAAAGAAAGAAACAACGAAAGAAAAATGTCTGAGGACTTCAGTGTTGAGGAAGAGCATGAGTTCTTTGCCGAGCTGAATGCGCTGGTTTGGTCTGCCGGCTTCCGTAGCGTCGTGATCGCGCACGTGCGCGCTTTCAGGAAATCCTATACACTACTGTTTATGCTCTAAAAACATTCTAAATGACTTCGTTTCGAGTAAATTCTGGACGCTACCCACTCAGGACACTTGGAATACATTGGACGAGCAGTATGGAGGAATATTGACACGTTTTTTGTGGACTTTTATGGACCTTTCTGCCTCGGGCACCATAGACCTCCATTATTTGAATGTCAGCAGACAGCAAGAAGCCTCCCAGATCTCCAGATGCATTTGAGATATCAAAAAAGTACTCCAGAGTGTTGTTCAGCAGGGGGGTGAGTAGAAAATGAAGGCTAATCATGTTTTGGGTGTACTATTCCTTTAAGAGCAGCCTTTAATGCTATCTTAGACACTATTGGCTTTGTTCAAAATGTGAATAGTCCCACACATTCTCATCTTCATACTTTGGATCTTGTGCTGACATACGGCATAGAATGTGAAGAAATAACAGTATTTCCTCACAACCCTGTCCTCTCTGACCACTTTCTAATAACCTTCAGGATTACTTTAACAGAGTTCTCCTCCCCCAAAAGAAGGTTCTACTTTAGCAGATCATTATCAGATAGTGCAGTTATACATTTTAAAGAATTTGTTTCACTTTCTCTCTCCTCTGTGTTGCTGAGCAGTGCTGCAGAGTGCAAAAGCATAGTTTATTCCCTTTCAAAGGTTGATGATTTTGTTGATGGGGTTGCTAGTTCTCTGGGTATTGCCTTAGACAACGCAGCTCCTTTGAAAATGAAAACCGTTATAAATAGAAAGCTTGCTCCTTGGTTTAATGCTGAGCTGCGTACTGTGAAGCAAAATGCTAGGAAACTGGAGAGAAAATATCGTTACACAGGCCTAGGGGAGTCCTTCCTAGTCTGGAAAAATAGTTTACTGCTGTATAAGAGGACCCTTTGTAAAGCAAGAGCAGCATACTTCTCCTCAATAGAGGAGAATAAGAATAGTCCTAGCTATTTCTTTTATACAGTTGCCAAACTCACCCAGAGCCATAGCTCTGTTGAACCGTCCATTCCACCTGCTCTTAGCAGTAATGGTTTGGAATTAAAGGAACAGCACTAGACTGGTTTAAATCTTATTTATCTGAACGATTTCAGTTTGTTCACATTAATGATAGATCTTCCTCATGCTCAAAGGTTACCTGTGGAGTACCACAGGGATCAGTGTTATGACCAATTCTCTTTACTTTATACATGCTCCCAATCAGTAGAATTATTAGACAGCATGGGATTAATTTCCACTGTTATGCTGATGATACCCAGCTATATCTGTCTATAATCCAGATGAAGCTAACC